TCGCCCTGTTATGCTCGAGAGGTCGAGCTCTGCACGCTGGATCGGCCCCCGCTGAATCGGAAGCCGATTCCTGCAACAGCAAGCTGGCCAGAGATGCCCGTTACGCGGCATCCCGCCAGCCGCTGACCTTCTCGTTCGAGGCGACCAGAGCGATCCGCGGAGCGTGAGACACCTGCCCAGAGGCCCCGCGAGACCCGGGGCAGTGACCGACGAGGTGCGGGAGCGAGCCCCTCGAGGCCCCACCACTTCGATCGAGGTCAAGATCATGGGGTCACAAGAGAACCACCGCAGTGAGAGTCGCCCGCCAGCACACCCACCACCATCGCACAGAGTCCCAGCAGGTCTGGCTGCATGCCGCCACCTGAGCGACGAAAGAGAACGGGTCCGACTGCGCGGCCATTCGCGCGCAGGCTGCCCGCGCACGTAAGCGGCCTCGCTTCCAATGCAGCGTGCCGCGCTGGCGGCCCGTGTGAGCCACCGCTTAAGGTCGCTGTGTCATCGTGTTTGGGAGGGCGTGCCCTGGCTTTAAGTCCGGCCTGTCTCTTCACAGGAACAATATTCAAAATAGTCAAACACATCTGCGCCGATTTGTGATTGTTTTTGGAAAATACTTGAATATTTGTTGGACTGCTTCTCAGTTTCCTCCATAATCCGCCTGTAGGAGGACATGCCCGACCATACCTAATTATGTCGTCGTGCCTGGGAGGGCGTGCCCTGGGTGGAGGGAGTGGCTGCTGGCGAGGGGGCCGGCGACGCTCCTCCTGGCCGAGGTGCGCTTCCCCCTGGGGCAGCGCTGCCGACCTCGAGCGCCCGGCGGCGCCCCGGCTCGCGCAGCTGTCGAGGGCCCCGGACGGGCCCGGGCCCCCTGCCGGGCGCCCGCGCGTCGCGCCCGTGGTCCGCTGGCCGAGGGGCGCGAGAGCCTGCCCTGCTCGTCGCCCCCCCCCTGCCGGCAGAGCAGCCGGCCCCCGGTGGCGAGCCGGCGCGGCGTGCGGGAGGTGCGCGCCGGGAGGCCGCGGGCTGCTCCTCGGAGGCAGAGCGGTCTGAGCCTCGAAGGGTCTGAGCTCGGTCTGCTTCTCGAGCTATGGTTGAAAGTTGCGCTCTTTCTTTCCAGCCGTGCTTTTTGTCCTTCGAGATGAAAATGCATAGATTCAGAAATGTCGAGCCTTACAGCGAGCTGAGACTTAACGGCGGCGCGCTCGAGAAGGCGAGCTCCACGGTTCGTGTCGTTTCGTGCAGGCGTGGCGGCGACTCGCCGCGGGCGTCCGAGGTCGCACGTGCCGCCAGTGGCCCAGGATCTGTCAGCATGGATTCATCGGGGGCCATCAGAAGGCGCCGATTCTCCACGGCTGAGCGCTCCTCCTCCTCCTCCTCCTCCTCCTCCTCCTCCTCCTCCATCCTCCTCCTCCTCTATCCTCCTCCTCCTCCTCCTCCTCCTCCTCCTCCTCCTCCTCCTCCTCCTCATCCGCCAGTGGCCCAGGGTCGGCCAGCGCAGCGATCCGTGCGGTGCCGGGAGCCGCCGCCGAAGTCGCGCCGACGCGAGCTTGCCACGCGCCGTGCGGTCGCGAGTGCGGGGCTCCGGACGAGGCCCTCCTCCTCCTCCTCCTCCTCCTCCTCCTCCTCCTCCTCCTCCTCCTCCTCAGGCGAAGCGGGCCGGCCGCAGCTGCGTGCAGGAGCCGCTCGCCGCCGACGGCTGGGCAGCCCGCACGTCGAGCCGGGCGGAGCGAAGCGAAATTTCGGGGCCCTCGAGGCCCTGCGCAGGGACCCGCGGTGGTGGTGTGGGGAAGGCGCACGGGCGGGCACCTCGAGGCCCTGTCTCTCGAAGACGAGAAATCACGGCACAAACATGAGTTTGTGGCGCTTATTCTTCTTCGTCTTCTTCTTCTTCTACTCGAGGCCCTTTCTCCTCGATCGAAGTCAAAGCCAGAAACATCCCAAAGAGGACGCGATGGGAAGGCCGCCCACCAGCCCACCCACCACCCTCAAGCAGCATCCTGGAGGTGCCTCGGATTCCTGAGCGGAGGAAGGCGGAGGCTGCCTGCAATATCTACCGCCGACTGCCAAACATACCGTTGGCCGTCGGCGAGTTGGCCCGGCGTGAGAGGCGTTTCTCAAGCGTGCCGGCGCCGAGGCCATGGACAGCCGCCGCCGCCGCCGCCGCCGAACGAGCTCGCTGCTCGGTCTCTGGAGCAGTCCTGCCCTGTGACTGGCGCGAGGAAGGCGCTTGCGGGTCGATCGGGGCCGGCAAGACTGCGCAGCGTCGTCCCCCGATCGGCTCTTCCCACAGTGCTCCCGCGGGCCGCGCTCCGCGGCGCGCTGCCCAAGCGTCCGGATCTCTCTGGCGCAGCGCTGCTGGAGCGTGTCTCCCGTCTCGCTGGCCTTCCTCGCGAGCGTGCGCAGCACCTTCGCCGTCGTCTCGCGAGCTCGCCTCGGCGGGTGCCGCTCTTCGGGTTGCCGGAGGGTGGCGCCGTGGAGCCGCACCTCGAGAGCGGCGCGGGGTTCA